CAATCTTTAGTACTTAGTACAGCATCCTTTTACAGTTATAACAGCTTTTTTAAACGTGAAGCATAGCTTGACACAAGTGTCTTGCAGCGATCTTACGGGTATCTTCGCCCATTCTTCATGGGCAAAGGCCTCCAGTTCAGGTCACATTCTTAGGCTTGCGCACTGCAACTGCTTTCTTTAAGTCCCACCAGAGGTTCTCAATCGGATTTAAGTCTGGTGACTGCGATGGCCACTCCAAAAATGTTCCAGCCTTTCCTCTGCAACCATTGCTCTAGTGGACTTGGAGGTATGCTTGGGATCATTGTTCCTGTTGAAAGGTCCAACGTCTCCCAAGCCTCAGGTGTGTGACGGACTGCATTCACGTTTCCATCCAATATCTCTCCTGGTACTGAAGAGAATTCATGGTACCTTGCACACGCTGAAGCTTCCCTGTACCTGCAGAAGCAAAACAGCCCCAAAGCATGATTGACCCTCCACCATGCTTCACAGTAGGCAAGGTGTTTTTTTCATCATAGGCCTTGTTTCTTCCTCCTCCAAACATAGCGTTGATCCATGGGCCCAAACAGTTCTAATTTTGTTTTGTTTATCAGTCCACAGAACACTATCCCACAACTTTTGTGGTTTGTCCACATGGCTTTTGGCATACTGCAGTCGACTCTTCTTATTCTTTGGAGACAGCAAGGGGGTACGCCTGGGAGTTCTGGCACGGAGGCCTTCATTACGCAGTGCTGCGTCTTATTGTCTGGGCTGAAACTTCTGTACCCACATCTGACAAATCTTTTCTCAGTTCCTCAGCAGTCACACGGGGACTTCTCTCCACTCTACGCTTCAGGTAGCGCACAGCAGTCGAAGTCAGCATCTTCTTTCTGCCACGACCAGGTAGCGTTTCAACAGTGCCCTTTGCCTTGAATTTGCGAATGATGCTTCCTAAGGTGTCTCTTGGTATGTTTAACATCTTTGCAATCTTTTCTTATAGCCATTGCCCTTCCTGTGAAGAGAAATCACCTCTTCTCTTGTCTAACTTCCTGGACCATTCTCTTGCCTTCACCATGTTTGTAACCACACCAGTAAATGTCTAGAAGGAGCTGAGTATCACAGTCATTTTAAAGCTGCCTAATTGGTGCTTATTATGCTTGATTGCTGCTCGGTGACATCCACAGGTGTTTTCAATACCTGATGGAAAGCACCTGTATGAACCTCTGTTCTTCAGAGTGGTAGTCTTTTAAGGGGGGTTGAATAATTGTGGCAATGAAGAAACCACATAAGAACCATTTACTACTGTATTACATAAACAATTGATGTCATTTTAGTTGCATTTGGGTAGTTACAACGTCCTTGTAGGATTTGATTCTGAATACAATTCCAAATGTACACTATAGTCCCTAAACCCCTTTACAGCATTGGGGGTTGAATAATTTTTGGCCACAACTGTAGCTGCCCATAGCTTCTTGAGTGTGTATCTAAATCCTTGTGACACAACAGAGTATCTCTGTCCTATTGTTATTATCTCACATGCAGATGTGCCAGAACCAGATATGCCAGATGAGCAAGATAGCTAGGTCTGTGCTACTGTATGTGTGTGTCCTCTCCAATATATTAGCATGTGAACTTGTTTATTGCAATAAAGTTTATTTGCAGCCCTGGTTTTTCTAGTTAACCCTGTCTTTTCTGGTCTGGGATTCTATAGCCAGTTTTTCTTAGGGCTTGATAACCAGCAGGCTAGAGCCAGATTAGGCATCTGATTGCCACTTCTAGATCATTAGCTTAGAAGGCCAGTGGTCAGATCAGAAACTTCTAGGGAGGGACTAAGGGTTAGAGTAGATAGGCTGACTCTGAGATCCATTGCCACAGTTCTAGTACTACACCACAGTTCCTGCTGGTGAGAAGCTCTGTTCCAAAACTGGTTAAACAACAGTTGGAAGATCTCCTATGACTGTAGATCTTGTCTTTGGGTCTCCAATACAAAGACAGATGCCACATCATCCTCAGGTTGCACCTGCAACTGGACTTTGCGGCAAAATTTATTCTGGAGGTATCTCTGATAATAACTATATATACAAAGGTTATATATGCTCAATTCCACAGGACTCCTGTCGGGCCCTTTGCACACATCCTGTTAGCACATTTTTTGAATGTGTGCACTGTTATTAATCTCTTCTTTCTTATGGTTATTATACTGGTTGCAGTAGTTCCTCTGCCACCAATTACCTTGATTAGATTACTTGTTAATTTTCCAGGAAGGGAATCATCTTTGTTCACAGAGACCCTGTCAGGGGTGTCCTGGGTGGAGGCACTACCAACTTTATTATCAAACCCACTCTTTCACTTAACCAGGGTTCTGGTTCTCATGTTCTACTGATATTGTGCCGTATCCTTTTTTTTGGGAGGGACATTTTTCATATCCCCTCAAAAGAGGGCTGCACAAATACAAGCCCCCCCCACATGAATAAGTAATATATATATATTATCCCTACTCATTTACACAAAAACATCTAGCATATAAATAGACATCCAAATGTTTGGCAAGTCCTTTGTTAAAAAAATAACAATTCCCCCAAAAAAAGTCCATCATTGTAAATCCATTGTCAGTCACAATGCTGCCACCCACCAACTTGCTGAAATTAAAAACTCAGCAGACCAGCACACACAACTGATCACAATGGTACTGCTCACTGAATTGCAGCTCCAAAAGCTGTAATCAGCTATATAAGGGAAGGGGTGTTGATAATACAGACATCGTTGACCAAATATGGCCAGTGAACATATTTGTGCAATGATGCCCCTGCTGTTCCTGCTTCTTTGATTGGCAGCACCTCCTGCTTCCTTAGGAACCATTGACAGCTGGATGCTTTCATATATAGAAAACAGAAAAATACTGCTTCTATATATGATGCTCAGCTCCCACTGAGCAGGGGTCCACACAGGCAAAGTTTGGGTGTTCGTCCAAACACCACAAAAGCAAATTTCTGTTTGAACTATTGGCATATCTCTATCTGCCACACTGCGATTGCACAGTTATTTAGCAAAGTATAACATTTGTTATAGCAACTAAACACTCCCTACACAGACTGTCAACTCTCCTTACTCTGTTCTAACTGAAACTGTCAAGTTTCTGCTGGGAGCCCATCCTCTGGAGTGAGCAGGCACATACTAAAGCTGGGCCATTCTAACTCTCCCAACCACAGTTGAAAGATGAGCCAGGTAGATTTTTTTTTGGTCCATCCAATTTCAGATGGATTGGATTTCTTAGTCATTATCCTAGACTTCAGTGAAATTTAGAATCTTTAGAATGATTTTAAATTGTTAGTCCCTATCCAACCATATAGACCTTATACATTTTACCAGGAGGAATGAGCAAACATTTCAGGGTCTAGAGGGTACCAAAGTATTTCCCATAGTATTCACAGCTTTAATTGCTGCCATGAGAAATTCCACCAGGCACTGCCTCAGGGAAGAAGAATACTTATCAAATAACAAATATCTAATTTTGATTAATTAGCACAATACAAATATTTAGCACTTATATTGGGTAAATCAAATCTAAAATTAATCTAAAAATCCTAATAAAATGTTTTTTTAATTTTAGGTTTGTAACACTAAAAAATGTGGGGAAACGTCCAAGACGGGTGAATACTTGCGCAAAGTAATGTTTCGTATTTCAGATTTTTTTTTGTATTACACTTAAGAAAATACACATGTCCATCAAGTTTACTTAAAGACTAAACATTACATTTAAAAAAGCTTGCATCCTCAGATATGTAAATCCACAGGTTATCCAAAGAAAGGCAAAAAAAACCCCTTGTAATGAGTAACCTAACTTGCTCATACAAGGAAAAAATCCTTTCTAGTCCTCAAAGGCAATCAGATGCTTCCTGGATCAACAATCTGCAGTGTTTTTTCTTATAAATAGTCAGTTATATTTTCTGCAATTCACACCCTTTCTATTTTAAAGCAATCTACAAAGCGTTGCTAGAACTAGCTCTGTAAGGAAGTCTTTCCATATGCAGAGGTTTAACCCCTTCTTTTCCAAGCAAAAACAGGCTCACTTGTCAATTTGCAATGACCTTAAAACATTTCACAAACATTACGATATTGATCATGTATGTATTTTATATTGTGCAGTCATGTCACCTTTAAATGCTTTGTTGGAAGGTGAATAAATTCAGTGCAGGTAAACTTTCTTTATAGCTGAGTTTTTCCATGCTGTTTATTAATTTAGTTGTCTTCGGTGCACTGATTCCAGTTCTATGATGCACTTTTTTTGTAAAAAAAAACTGCTGTCCAAAATAACAGTGACAAGATACTAAGACTAATTTACATAGGTAGTTGAGAACCTTCACACAACAAATTTACTTAAATTATCCAATCATGTGAAAAAACAAATTCCTGTTTACTTATTTCAATCTGCACATGACAGGATAATTGAAGTAAATATTCACATAATTTTTAGTTTGAGAATATTCTCAACCCTTTTAGTAAATCTCTTCTCTCTCTCACTCTGCTGAGTCTATCCCTCCTTTAATACAGTGAAGTACCTTGCCACTTTAGATGTTGCAGATTGGCATCATCACTCATCAAAGGTGTTCCCCTTCTAGGGATAAATGCATGTTTTCAGCTTCTAAGTGCATAACATTACATATATTAACATTAAACCTTATTCTACCACATTAAACTTTCATATGTAGTTGCCCAATCATAATCTGTTTATTTTTATTGTGTTTTTTTTTAAATTTTTATTTTAAAACATACTTTATTGCTTTCATAGTCTGCCAGGTTTTTTGATATGATAGTCTCATGGTTCTCTAAGGGGACTAGTGACAAAATGGCTATTAAGCCATCTGATATCTCCAGTGCAAGGATTTGTAATGCCCCTTGGAATGAAACTTTTATATGGCACTATACTGTAGACCAACAGGAGGGTGGTGGCGAACACGCGGCTCTCGAGCCGCGTGCGGCTCCCGGCCAAAATGAATGCGGCTCTTTGCCTCTTATCATATTTTGCACAGGTGGGTGGCACTGGTGGGCACAGGTGGGGTGGGCACAGGTGGGTGGCACTGCTGGGCACAGGTAGGTGGCACTTCTGGGCACAGGTAGGTGGCACTGCAGAGTGGCACAGGTGGGTTGCACTGATTGGGAACAGGTGGGTGCACTGCTGGGCACAGGTGGGCGGAGCTAGTGGGCGCACTGCTGGGCACAGGTGGGCGGAACTTGCGGGCGGCACTGCTGGGCACCGATCATCAGGGCACTGATCATCAGTGCCCTGATGATCGGTGCCGATCCCCGACACTCTGACAACTGCCGGTTCTCGGCATGTACTTTCCTCACGATCTGACAGCGTGAGGAAAGTGCAGCCGAAAAAGAACCGGCACTTGCATTTTCCTTTGATCAGCGTGTCATTGGACACCGCTGATCACGTGGTAAAAAGGCCGCTGTGATTGGCCTTTTTTACCACATCACGTGATCAGCTGTGTCCCGTAGGACCACAGCGATCACGGAGATTGCCGGGTTGTGGCGGTGCGGCCCCTGGGGCGCGCGCGCGTGAGAGCGCGTTCTGGGAGGACGTCATATGACGTCCACCCAGTAACTGGGCCGGCCGCAGTGCAGCCATCATTCGGCTATCTGCGGTCGGCTACTAGGTAAAGGGGAAAGAAAAGAAAGAAAGTGTTATGGTGAATAATATGGTTTTAATTATGTGTTTTTGTGTGAGTGTTTGTCTGTTTTGGCAGGTCACTGCATGGTGTGGCTCTCTGACTTTCACAGTTTAAAATTTTGGCTCTTTATGTCTAACTTGTTCGCCACCCCTGCTGTAGACCTTGTGAGTCTGAAAGATCCTGATGTTCCTATTTTTTGTAGAAAGAGATAGGACTTGGACACTGACAGAGACCCTGGAAGTAACTCAGTATTAAGTGCTTCGGGGTAAAACATTGAAGGAGCTCTGTTAGCCACTTAAAGACATTATGGAGATTCTGTTCTGTACTGAGTAGATGGGCTATCATATCACCTTTATTAACCTTTATTTCACTAAAGATGAAAGTATATCATGCTTTCCAATGCTATTGTTTTTATGACATATCATTTTTTATAACTTGCAATCTGTACCTTTAAATTTGTATTCAGCATTGCTTCAGGACGAGCCGTCCGCTCTGATTGACACCCCATCCCCTGTAATTACACTCAGCCAGCCTTCCCTTTAATGGTCTTCTTATATTAATGGCAGAACGGCCATGGTTACTCAGAAGAATTGACAAAGAGAGTGAACTGGGATACCCTGCGGGCGCGAACATGTCGTTCTTGGTAAACCCCACATATGCTCCGCTGAACCAAC